AAGCATGCACCCTGTAACTCCCAGTTGCTTCCAGCACGATCCCAGTTGCTCCCAGTTACCCCTTGTGTAGTTCCAATCACTCCCAGTAAGATCCTGGGCACTGACAGTCACTCCCAGGATGGTTCCAGTATGGTCCTGGTCACTCCCACTATGATCCCAGTCACTTCCAGTCGCTCCCAATTGGATCCCAGTTGCCCCCAAGATGGTCCCAGTTGCTCCCAGCCCCATCCCCGGATGGTTCCTTTCCCTCTCAGGGACTCCCAGTCTGAGTCCAGTATGGCCCCAGGCACTGTCAGTCTCTGCCTGGACGATGCCATTTGGCCCTGCATGGTTCCAGGTGTTCCCAGTATGATCCCAGTATGAGTTCAGTCACCCCCAGTGTGATCCCAGTAACATCCAGAGACTTCCAGTACGAAGCCAGTTTGATCCCACTCATCCCCAGTATGGTTGCAGTCCCTCCCACACACTCCCAGTATTATTGCAGTCACTCCCAGTATAACCCCAGCAGGGGCCCAGCTGCTCCCAGTATGATCCCAGTTGCCCCAGTTCTGGTCCCGCTGGGTCCAGTCCAGCTCTGGGTGTATCCCGGTGTCCCCCCTGTCCCCCCACCCCGGTGTCACCCCCTTTTCTCTCCCCACAGAGCTCCTGAGCCGCCGGCGGCCACAGCCCCTCCCTGGGGCCTCGGGCACAGCCTGGACCCCCCCGTGTCTGTGAGGATTTTGGGGGGTCGTGTGTCCCCCCTCCCCTGCTGTCACTCTGCCTCCACCCAGCTGCTCCCAGTGATCCCAGCAAAGCTTCCCAGTCCTCCCCAGTCCTGGTTATTGGGGGGCATTGGGGGGGAGTTGGAGGATCCCAAGGGGGTGGAGCCGAGTTTGGGGGGGCAGAACCGGCCCCAGGATGGATCAGAATGGGGACCCCCCTGTGTTCCCCCCATGTGATGCCGAATTTGCCCCAAAGAAGCACAGAGAGACTGCTTTAGAGACAAAGTTTCATGCTCAAAGCAGGAGGTATTTTATTAGCAACGCGTTGGGGAGCTCTCCAGGTCGCCCTGGGCAAAGAGCTCCGTCGTTAACAATTAGTGCAGCTCTTTTATACAATTTCTGAGTAGGGATTACATCATTATTCATGTATATTCATTACATTGCAACATCTACTCGTAATATTCATATATAGGTGGAGTCTGGGCGGAGTCTTCAATTTGGGGAGGTTGGGAGGTGGGAGATCCAGAGCCTTCATCAAAGGAGGTGGTCGTCTGGTTGGTCTTCCTCGGTGTAAACTTTTGAACTCTTCTCAAATCTTTCCTAATTTGGGTAGTTTCCTTGTGATGTTGGCAGGGTCTTGGTAACCTTGGCCCATCTTAAATCTGCTGATGCTACTATCTCCTTGTTTTGTGTTATCTTATGGTTTTAGTATCCTTTTTGTCAACATGTTCTGTTCCCTCAGACAATTTATTACCTCTGTGGTTTCCTAATGCTAAGCTTTCCTGTAGTGCTTTACATTTTTGTGTTTTAACTTCTTGTTTCTCGAAGACTGCTTCCTTTTGAGTGGCTTCACGTGTCACCCCCCTCTGGGGGGGCTTTGGGAGGGCACCTGCCCCTCAATAGGCTCCCAGGTCACCCCAAAAGGTGCTGGGACCCCCACAAAACCTCCCCAACAGCCCCTGAAAGAAACCCCAAAGACACTCAGAGCCTGCCCAGGACCCCAGGGTCCCAGCCAAGGCAGGAATCTCCACACACCCCTCAAGAAGGGTTCTGTTGGCACAACCTGACCCTGCAAAAGGGGACTGGCCCTTTCTGGTAGAAAGGGATGGACTGACAGTCACTGGACTCCAGGGGCTGCCTCACCATCAGGGGGGTCATTCGGAGTGGGAGCAGCAGTCGAAGCTCTTCCCACAGTCGGGGTACTCTGGGGCTTCTCTTACCGGTGGGTCCGTTGGTGGGAGGTCAGGGAAAAGCTCCTGGAGAAGCTCTTCCCACACTCCCCACACTTGTAGGGCCTCTCCCCAGTGTGGATGAGCCGGTGCCTGATGAGGGTGGAGTTCCGGTTGAAGCCCTTCCCGCAGTCGGTGCAGCGGAAGGGCCTCTCCTCTGTGTGTGTTGGCTCATGCCTGAGGAGAGCTGAGCTGGTCTGAAAGCTCTTCCCACATTGCAAGCACTTGTAGGGCCGTTCTCCAGTGTGGATGATCTGGTGGTTGCAGAGGTTGGAGCTGGTCCTGAAGCTCTTCCCACATTCCCTACACGTGTAGGGCCGTTCCCCAGTGTGGATGTGCTGGTGTCGGATCAAGTCAAAGCTGTCCCTAAAGCTCTTCTCACATTCCCCACATGTGTAGGGCCGTTCCCCAGTGTGGATGTGCTGGTGTTGAATCAGGTTGGAGTGTCTCCTGAAGCTCTTCCCACATTCCCTACATGGGTAGGGCCGTTCCCCAGTGTGGATGTGCTGGTGGCTGAGGAGGGTGGAGCTCTGCCTGAAGCTCTTCCCACATTCCAAGCACCTGAAGACCTTGTCCCTGCTGGGAGGCTGCTCAACAGATGCACCACAAGACAGGGCCAAAGGGGCACTGACTTCCTCCTCACCTGCCTGGGGGGCCCGTGGCATCTTCCCCTTCATTGCAGCCTCCTCCTCCATCCGCCCAAGCTTTGGGAAGGACAAATCCTGCTGGGGGCAAACAAGGGCTGAGTGCATTGCCTTGGGGGTTCCTCCTGCCCAAGTCCATCTCTAGAACTCAACGGGCATCCTGGGACCATAAAAACATCCAAAACACCAAGACTTAGTCCGGAAATACACAAAATAGCGAGATTTGGGGGAAAAAAACCAAACAACTCAAAAACACCCCCCAAATTTGCAAAAGATCACAATTCAGCCAGAAAATACTTCAAAATATGAAGATTCAGTTCAGAAAAATCTTCTCAGAAGTTCACCTTCTCTGCTCTCTTCACTCTAGGTCTCTGGGGGTCTCCTCTCTTGGCTGCTGGGGGTGCTGCCTAGGGATATTGGGGGTTTTGAGGGTCGCAGGGGTCCCTTCTCCCCTGACTCTGCTTCAGGGTGCCGGGTTCCCAGACATTCCCTCACTCTGGATTCTCCACTTGGTTGTCCCAGGGATCTCAAGCGTGTCCCCTGTCCAGGCTCCCCCTTGTCTGGGCACCCCCGTTTCAGGGTCCCAGGGATCCTGGACCTCCCCCTCCTCTGTCGTCCCCCTCCAGCCTGCCGGGGGTCCCCCAGCTCCAGTATCGCTCTGGTCTACCCACTCCGCTGTTCCTACCCCCCACCCCTGGCTCTCCCGAGCCCATAAAAACCTCCAAACCACCAAGATTCAGCCCAAAACTCCCAGGAGTTCCCCCTCTCTGATCTCTCCTCTCTGGGCTGCTGAGGGTCCTGCATTTATTGGGGGTTGGATTACCTTGGTCCTCATCCTCTCCCGGTAGAAGGGAGTCCCAGGAATCCAGGGGTCCCCTCTATGGGCTCCCAGTTCTCTGGGCTGCTGGGGGTCCGGTGGGTCCTGGGGGTTCCCCTCTATAGGGTCGTCTTTAGGGATGCCGGGGATTTTGGGGGTCTCACTGGTCCCTTCTCCCCTGACTTTCTCCTTCGGGGTGCTGGTCGGTCCCAGGGGTCCCCGCTCTCTCCAGGCTATTCAGGGTACCGGCTCCTCCTCCCCCCCCCCTGCTGCTCCCCCTCCTCTCCAGACTCCAAGGGGTTCCCCCTCTCCGCGACCCCCGTTTCAGGGGTCCGGCGCTCCCTCTGTGCTCCCCCCCCACTCCCGGATTCCGGGGGTCCCCCAGCTCCGGGATCACCCCCTCCGCTCTCCCCACTACCAGGGTTCACCCCGGCTCTCACGGGGGACACCAAAACCGGTCTCGCCCCCATCCCGCCATTACCGAGCGACCCCCACGTGCTGCTTTCTCCTCTTCTTTGTCCTCCCGTCCGGCTCCTGCCTTGGCTGTCCCGCCGCTTTTTTCGTGTTTCCGCCTCCGGGATCCGCCCCCTGCAGCCCTTCCCCCCCTGGCCCAGCCCCAGCGCCCCCTTTGAGCCCCCCTTCCCCCAAAGCCATGGCCTCCCGCGCAGGAGCGGGGATGGAGCTGGGGCAGGTCGGGATGGGCAGCGCTGGGCTCTTGGCCGCTCCCGCCCGCACTCGGCCCCCGCCGCAGCCGCCACGGCCGGGACAGCGCGGGGGGACCCGGCCTGGGCGCCCCCCCCCCCCTGCCCAAATTGCCGTCCCGGGGGGCGCTGGGGGCGAGGAGGGGTCTGGTGGGCTCGAGGTGGGGAGCGCTGGGGCTGCGGCTCTGCCCGCACACGGAGGAGCTGCCCCCGCAGCCGGGGGGGCTCCGGCACCACCAGTGCCCAGAAAGGTCTCCCCACATGAGGGGTTTAGGGGGTCTGGGGGGGGTCAGAGCGGCTTGGGGGGTCCTTGTGGGGTCGGGGGCGGTTTATGGGGGTCCCGGCACCTTTTGGGGAGGGCTGGGTGCCGTGTTGGGGTGCAGGTGCTCCACCAAAGCCCCCCCAGAACGGGGTGACACGGGGGGGACACACGGGGGTCCCCATTCCTGATCTATCCTGGAGCCACCACGCTGGGGGCAACTGGGATCATACTGGGAACAACCGGGACTGCACTGGGACTGACAGGGAGCACAACTGGTGTGACTGGGAACATACTGAAGTCGACCGGGATATACTGGGAGAGACTGGCAGTGACAGGGATCATACTGGGAGGGACTGGAACTAGAGTGGGGTGACTGGGAGCAACTGGGCCCATGCAGGGGGTAACTTAGATCCTCCTAGGATAGAGTGGTATTGTACTGGAAGTGACTGGGATCATCCTGGGAGTTACTGGAACCGGAGAAGTGGTTAATGGGAGCAACTGGAACCACACTGGGGGCAACTGGGATCATAGTGGGAGCAGCTGGGCCCCTGCTGGGCTCATACTGGGATCACACTGGGACTGACAGGGATCATCCTGGGAGTGACTGCAATAACACTGAGACTGTGTGGCAGGGATTACAACCATACTGGGGATGAGTGGGATCAAACTGGATTAATATTGGAAGTGTCTGGAAGTTCCTGGGATCATACTGGGGGTGACTGGACTCATAGTGGGATCATACTGGGAGCAACTGGGACCATGCAGGGGCAAATGGCATCGTCCAGGGAGTGCCTGACAGTGCCTGGGGCCATCCTGGACTCAGACTGAGAGTCCCTGAGAGGGAAAGGAACCATCCTGGGGGACCTGGGAGCAACTGGGACCACCTTGGGGACAACTGGGATCCAACTGGGAGTGACTGGGACCATAGTGGGAGTGATCAGCACCATACTGGGATCATAGTGGGAGTGACTGTAAGGGACCAAGATCAAACTGGGAGCGACTGGAACTATGCAGGGGGGAACTGCGAGCCAGTGGGGCCGTGCTGGAAACCAACTGGGAACATTCTTGGAGCAACTAGGATCATGCTGGAAGCAACTGGGAGTAACTGGGAGTGACAGGGTGCATGCTGGAGGCAACTGGGATTAAGTGGGAGTGACTGGGATCACACTGATGGGAACTGGGACCATCCTGGGGCAAGTGGAAGTCACTGGGTGTCAGGGGTTTCTGTGGGTGGGTTTTGGTAGCGGGGGGGCTCCAGGGGTGGCTTCTGTTGGAAGCTGCCAGAAGCTTCTCCTGCCCCGTGGAGCCAATGCCAGCTGCTCCAGGACGGACTTGCTGTCGCTGGCCAAGGCTGAGCCCATCAGGAGCAACAGGAACAGCTCTGGGATAACAGATTTAGGGCCAGAAGGAATTGCAGCCAGGGAAGAGCAGAGTGGGAACATGGGAACAGCAATGCAGACCCCAAGGGCAGTGCAGAAGGAGGGGCAGGAGGTGCTTCAGGCCCTTCAGCCCCTGGGGGAGCATCAGGGTGCAGAGACCCCCCTGCAGCCCCTGGAGGCTCCCACGCTGGAGGAGGGGGATGCAGGAAGGAGGCTGTGACCCCGGGGCAGGCCCAGGATGGAGCAGGTCCTGGCAGGGACCTGCAGCCCGTGCAGAGGGAAGCCCAGGCTGGAGCAGGTTTTTCCTGGGCAGGACTCGTGGCCCCTGTGGGAGACCCACGCCGAGTCAGCTCGTCCCTGAAGGACTGACCCCATGGAGGAGGGACCCACGGGACAGCAGGGTGGGAAGAGCTGCTGCCCGAGGGATGGACTCACTGCAGAGGTCCATTCAGGACTGTCTCCCATGGGAGGGACCCCACGGGAGCAGGGAAGGATCCAACTCCTCTCCCTGAGCAGTGACAGAAACAACAACTGACTGTAACCACCATTCCCATCCCCCTGCACTGCTGGGGGGAGGAGGGAGAGGTGAGAAGGAAGGAGAGGTGAGGGAAGGTGTTTTTCAGACTGTTTTATTTCTCACTCTTTGGCTTTTATCCTGTCAGTAATAAATTTAAGCACTATCCCCACTTTGAGTCTGTTTTACCTGTTAGTGACTTTCTCCCCACCCTTATCTCTGCTCAGGAATCCTCAGCTGTTTTTTTTCTCTCCTCTGTGGAGTTGCAGAGGGAGGGGGAGGTACAGCTTTTAGTGGGTGTTTGAAATCCAGCCAGGGTCAACCCACTAAATCAACCCATGTGCTTGAGGCCCTTTTGTGATGTCACAGCCTACCCTCTCCGTTCCGGAATAGTCCTTGGCAACCAAAGAACCAACACCCCACCAGGTCAGAATGCAGCCCCATCCATGTGCCCCTTTAGGATGTCCCAGCCCATCCTCTCCATTCTGGAATAGCCCCTGGAAACCAAAGAACCAACGCCCCACACCCCCACAATGCAGCCCCACCCATCTGCCTTGGGACTCCTTGTGAAGTCACGACCTTTTCCCCAGGAAAGAAAGCCTGCAACCTTTGGGTTTCAGGTGCAGTTGGTGGCCACCCTGGGCACTTCTTTGGCAGCAAGAGCTTTCAGTCCTGCCACCTTTTGTCTGGTAGGAATCTTTGTCCAGGTTCCAATTTGGCAGTCGAACTGACAATTCCAGCTCGGGGCTCCTGCAAGCGAACGACAGCCCTGCCCTCCAGGAAAGAAACCCCTTCCCCTCGGTCTCTTTTCCTCTTCCTTCAAATACAACCTGCAGGGCAGCTTTCTGCCATCTCTTCTCTTGGGAATTGTGAAGATAGACCTGCTCCCATGTTCTACTAATATTCTATGAACATTTTACTAATATTTTACAACAACTTTACTTATATTCTATGAACAATTGTGCTAATCTTCTCAGAACAAGTTTGCTAACATTCTTATAATCTATACTAAAAATGAAAAATTTTAAACATGTGAAATACAGTCTAGTTTTGGAAAGGTAAAATCTACGGTTGGAGTGTTAATATATTGCCCAGACACAGCGTCTTTCCAGAGTGCTTGGTGGGAAGGCCCTGTCAGATGCAGTGATCATCTGCTTCACCCGTGCTTCTTCCACATGTTCTGCATGTCCATGGAGTCCAGCTGCTGATGGGAAGACCTGATGGGATCCAGCTGCTCAGCGGTGCTGCCACGCATCCTGTTGTTCCTTCTCCTGCTCCTTCTGCTCTTTGGCTCTATCGGAGGTTCCTCGGTGTCTGAGCTGTCAGATGCAGAGCTCCTCTACCTGGGCAACCAGAAGAAGGCAAAGACCATCAAGAGGACATCAGCCAAGGCCCAGAACCACCAGTGCTGGCAGGCAGAGAGCAGCACGCTGTGCTGGCTGCTCTACTCCATCTCGTCCAGCAGCTGGCTCCTCTGCTCTATCTCCTCCACCTCCTCAAGCAGCCAAGCCATCTGCTGCCTCTGCTGCTCCTCATGCTGGTGCAGGAGCTCTTGAGTGGCCTCTTCTCTCTCGTCACCCACTTTCACCACACACTGGAAGATGCTCAGCAGCACCAGGAGGTGAGTGAAGCTCCCAGCCATGGCCTGGAGGAGGAGGAGGGAGAGAAGGGGCTCAGCAGGGCTGGGTGGGGAAATTGGTGCCTGGGGTAGCAGGGGCAGGAGCCGCAGGGAGCTGGGAATGGGTGGGAGTGGATGTGGCCCAGGTGCTGCAGCAGCCCCTGTGCCCTCCCTGCAGCCCCAGAAGCTGCCCAGGGTGGCCCCAGGTGCTTGTGGGCAGCCCTGGGGCAGCCCAACCTTGCTCCCCCTGC